GAGAGAGATCATCTTTGATTTTGGGCTGCATGGCTGTGTTCCAGAAGCATTCTCTCCTGATGTTCTCTCTTTGGTTCCATCCTTCCTTGTCTTTTTCCTTCCCTCCCTCCCTCTTTCTCTTTTTCGTTCCTTCTTTCCTTCCTTCCCTCTTTCACTTTTTTATTTCCTTCTCTCCTTCCTTCTCTACCTTTCTTTTCTTTTCTCCTTCCCTCCTTCTTTCCCTCTCTCCCTCCTTCTCTCCTTCCTTCAGTCCCTACCCTTCTTTCTTTCTTTCCTTATTTCTCTCCTTCCCTCCTTTCCCCCTTCTTCTTTCCCTTTTTTCCTATCTTTCTCTCCCTCCTTCTCTCCTTCCTTCCTTCTCTACCCTTCTCTCTTTCCTTCTTTCTCTCCTTCCCTCCTTGTTTCCCTTCTTCTTTCCCTCTTTCTCTCTCTTTCTCTCCTTCCTTCTCTCCTTCTCCCTTCTTCTTTCCCTCTTTCTCTCTTTCTCTCCTTCCTTCTCTCCTTCCTTCATTCTCTACCCTTCTTTCTTTCTTTCCTTCCCTCCTTCTTTCCTTCTCTCCTTCCTTCCTTCTCTACCTTTCTTTCTTTCTTTCCTTCCTTCCCCTTCTTTCCCCCCTCTTTCCCTCTTTCTTTCTCTCCCTCCTTCTCACCTTCCTTCATTCTCTACCCTTCTTTCCTTTCCTCCTTCTTCCCTTCTTCTTTCCCTCTTTCCTTCTCTCCTTCCTTCCTTCTCTACCCTTCTTTCTTTCCTTCTTTCTTTCTTTCCTTCCTTCTTTCCCCCTTTCTGTGTATATGTTTTGTGTGTGTGTGTGTGTGTATATATATATATATATATATATATGGTTTTGCGCATGTATTATAATGTATTTTTGGGGGGAGGTTGCTTTTTAAGTCTCTTCCACTGTGTTTTTCAGTGTTTTTATGAGTGATAGTCACTTGTTGGCCTGTTAGGTGTATTGTGTCCAAATTTGGTGTCAATTCGTCCAGTGGTTTTTGAGTTATGTTAATCCCACAAACGAACATTACATTTTTATTTATATAGATTTTTCAAATTATAATCCGGCCCTCCAACAGTTTGAGGGACCGTGACCTGGCCCTCTGTTTAAAAAGTTTGAGGACCCCTGACCTAGAGCTTCGGAGCTTCTGTTCAACCATCTCAAAGCTCCCTGCTTGAGCAGTAATGGCACGATCATCAGCATAGATGAAACTTTCTGTCCCTTCTGGCAGTGGCTTATCCCCATGCTAAGTCTATGAGACGCAAAAAATTAAGAGTCCCTCCCTGCAAGCACTATCTCAAGCAAATATTGACAATTTATTCACACTGTCATTACTTGCAGCAATAGCCGATGTAGCGAAGCAACCAAGTTGGGGGGGGGGGGGGGTGTTGAATGCTCTCATTAAGGAGGCCAGACTTGGTGGAGGTGGTTGACAGGGCGGAGCTGCAGGCTATTGAAGGCTGCTCTGCCCCCTGCAGTGCTCTTTGCTTCAGCGTGGCAGGTTTCCTCCCCCCCCCGAAATTTTCAACCCCCCCAAAATTTTCAAATTCCCCACACCGTCAAAGCTATCCTCGATATTGTTATCCTTCCTCTACAGATCTTCTGTATAGTCTCGCCACCTTCTCTTGATCTCTTCAGCTTCTGTTAGGTCCCTGCCATCTTTGTTTCTTATCATACCAATTTTTGCCTGAAATTTACCTCCAATGTTTCTAATTTTCTGGAAGAGGTCTCTTGTCCTTCTATTCTGTTGTCTTCTTCCACTTCCATGCATTGCTTGTTTAAAAATAGTTCCTTATCTCTTCTGGCTAACCTCTGGAATTTCGCATTTAACTGGGCATATCTCCCCTTATCCCTGTTTCCTTTTGCTTTCCTCCTTTCTTGGGCTACTTCCAGTGTCTCAGCAGACAACCATTTTGTCTTCTTGGTTTTCTTTTTCTTTGGGACGTACTTTGTTGCCGCCTCCTGAACAATGTCTCGGACTTCTGTCCATAGTTCTTCTGGGACTCTGTTTACTAAATCTAGTCCTTCAAATCTGTTCTTCACTTCCACTGTATATTCGCTGTATGTTAGTGAGATCATATCTAACTGGTCTGTGTATTTTCCCTGATCTCTTTAGTTTTATACATACAATATATTATATTATTAGCATGGTACAATATCAGTATTAAATATTACTATATTGTACTATATCATTATATTGTATATTATATTATATTGTATTATATTATATTATTAACATAGCACAGGAGACAAGGTGGAACTGTCCCCTGCCCCCAGTTTTTGAATTTAGATTTTCTTTTTGCTTTGAACCAGGTTATAGGGCAGTATAGACTCAAATAATCCAGTTCAAAGCAGATAATTTGGATTCAGAGACTGGATTATATGGCAGTATAGATCCAGCCTGAAGATGCTGGAAACTGTCATTTAAAATAACTTTTTAAAGTTTTTCTAAATATAGGAGAGCTGTATTATATTCTCCCCTCATTAGCAAAGCTTAGAAAAGCCATTTGAAACTACTTCTGAGAATCTTCTAACCCAGGCATGGGCCAACTTGGGCCCTTCAGGTGCTTTGGACTTTCAATTCCCACCATTAAGTGGCTGAGGGGGAAAAGGAAGGGGCCTGAGGTTGTTAGGAATGGTGGGAGTTGAAGTCCAAAACACCTGGAGGACCCAAGTTTGCCCATGCCTGTTGTAGACAGATATACTGCAATGAGCATTTGAAAAGCACTGCTATGAATCATGGCCAGTCTTTGAGCTAAGTAAGCAGCAGATGTGTAGCCTTTAACATTGAGCCACTAGGTGGGACTAAAGCTCCATTTCCACCTGTTACCAAACAAGTTTATAGTTGCAGTCTGCAGGAGTCTTCCTTAACTTTTCCTTAAAGTTTGCTTTGCCATTAAACGCAGTGAGGTGGAAAGGGCAACCAATTGGGCTGCTGTGAGTTTTCCGGATGGTATGCCTATGTTCCATGCAGCCATACAGCCCGGAAAACTCACAGCAACCCACTGATTCCAGCCAAGAAAGCCTTGTGCAACCAATTGTTTGTTCATGTGTTAATATTCTTACAGTGAAAGTTTGGGAAGTTGGGTTGTTGTAGGTTTTTTTCGGGCTATATGGCCATGTTCTAGAGGCATTTTCTCCTGACGTTTCGCCTGCATCTATGGCAAGCATCCTCAGAGGTAGTGAGGTCTGTTGGAACTAGGACAATGGGTTTATATATCTGTGGAATGACTAGGGTGGGACAAAGAACTCTTGTCTGTTGGAGCTAGGTGTGAATGTTTCAACTTACCACCTTGATTAGCATTTGATGGCCTGGCAGTGCCTGGGGTAATCTTTTGTTGAGAGGTGATTGGATGTGCCTGATTGTTTCCTCTGTGTTGTCTTGCTGTTGTAATTTTAGAGTTCTTTAATACTGGTAGCCAGATTTTGTTCATTTTCATGGTTTCCTCCTTTCTGTTGAAATTGTCCACATGCTTGTGGATTTCAATGGCTTCTCTGTGTAGTCTGACATGGTGGTTGTGAGAGTGGTCCAGCGTTTCTGTGTTCTCAAATAATACGCTGTGTCCAGGTTGGTTCATCAGGTTCTCTGCTTATGGCTGAAGTAGTCTGCAGTGCCTTTCATGTTCTTTGATTCGTGTTTGGGCAATGCTGCGTTTGGTGGTCCCTATGTAGACTTGTCCAAAGCTGGATGGGATACGGTAGACTCCTGTTTGGGAAGCTGTCTGAAGAATTTACTAGCTTCAGTTGCCTGTCTGCATACAGCAACCCCATGAATTTCATAGGATATTTTAGGCAAGGAATTTGCTTTACTTTAGTGTTTCTCAACTTGGGGATCAGGACCCCTGGGACGGTGGCAAAGGGGTGTCAGAAAACACAGTATTTTCTGTCAGTCATGGAGGTTCTGTTTGGGAAGTTTGGCACAATTATATCTTTGGGTTCAAAGGGCTCTTTGATTGTAGGTGAACTATAAATTCCAGCAACTACAACTCCCAAATGTCACAGTCTATTTTCCCCAAATACCACCAGTGTTCACATTTGGGCATACTGAGTATTTGTTCCAAGTTTGGTCCAGATCCATCATTGTTTGAGTCCACAGTGCTCTCTGGATGTAGGTGAACTACAACTCCAAAACTCAAGGTCTATGCCTACCAAAACCTTCCAGTGTTTTCTGTTGGTCATGGGAGTTCTGTGTGCCAAGTTTGGTTCAATTCCATCGTTGGTAGAGTTCAGAATGCTCTGTGATTGTAGGTGAACTATAAATCCCAGCAACTACAACTCCCAAATGTCATGATCTATTTTCCCCAAACTCCACCAGTGTTCACATTTGGCATACTGAGTATTTGTGCCAAGTTTGGTCCAGATCCATCATTGTTTGAGTCCACAGTGCTCTCTGGATACAGGTGAACTACAACTCCAAAACTCAAGGTCAGCGCCCATCAAACCCTTCCAGTATTTTCTGTTGGTCATGGGAGTTCTGTGTGCCAAGTTTGGTTCAATTCCATAGTTGGTAGAGTTCAGAATGCTCTTTGATTGTAGGTGAACTATAAATCCCAGCAACTACAACTCCCAAATGACAAAATCAATTGTTTTGAGTGATGGTCACTCCTTGAAAGGGACCTGAGTCCACATTCAGATAATGTGGGATTTTCTGCCTTGATATTCTGGGATATAGGGCTGCGTGGAAGGGCCTGAAGAACTGTTCCTGTGTATAGGCATGGGTGGCAATGCAGCAGCCAGTATCAAATCCGTAGCATTCACTGGAAGTGAGACATACCTCAATTGGCTTTGACCAGCTTATTTTTGGCAGCTTTCATAATGGACTGTTTGGAAGAATCTGAGACCCCTTCTACACTGCCACATAATCCAGGTTATCAAAGCAGAAAATCCACATTATTTGAACTGGATTATATGAGTCTACACTGCCATATAATCCAGTTCAATGCAGATAATCTGGATTTCATATGGCCAATATAACATGATATAGATCAGACATGAGCAAAATTTGGCCCTCCAGGTGTTTTGGACTTCAACTCCCACCATTCCTAACACCCTACTGGCTGTTAGGAATGGTGGGAGTTGAAGTCCAAAACACCTGGCAGGCCAAAGTTTGTCCATACTTGATATAGATCAATGTTTCAATCATGTCTGGTTGGCAGGGGTGTATATACTATATCAGTGGCTCCCAACCTTTGGTCCTCCACGTGTTTATATATTTCAGCTCCCATAATTACTTACAGCTGTCTGGGATTTCTGGGAATTGAAGTCCAAAACACCTGGAGGACCAATGGTTGGGAACCACTGCATTATACATAGGGGATTTGTAAGCATCTCCCTTCCAATAGACAGCATGTTAAAATGGGCCAAAGTAAAGGCTCTGGTATTGTTGAAGGCTTTCATGGCCTGAATCACTGGGTTGCTAAATCCCAACAAAGGATTCCCCCAGGCAGGATGCAGCCAGGCTTTGAAGCTGCAAGGCCATTCAATACCAATCAAGGTGGCCAATTCCACAGAGCAGGAATATTGCATTCAAATCACCTTCTGATGCCCTCACTGCGGGAGAACATGCAGATCAAGAATCATAGAATCATAGAATCAAAGAGTTGGGAGAGACCTCATGGGCCTTCCAGTCCACCCCCTGCCAAGAAGCAGGAATATTGCATTCAAATCACCCCTGACAGATGGCCATCCAGCCTCTGTTTAAAAGCTTCCAAAGAAGGAGCCTCCACCACACTCCGTGGCAGAGTGTTCCACTGCTGAACAGCTCTCACAGTCAGGAAGTTCTTCCTCATGTTCAGATGGAATCTCCTTTCTTGTAGTTTGAAGCCATTGTTCCGCATCCTAGTCTCCAGGGAAGCAGACAACAAGCTTGCTCCCTCCTCCCTGTGACTTCCTCTCACATATTTATACATGGCTATCATATCTCCTCTCAGCCTTCTCTTCTTCAGGCTAAACATGCCCAGCTCCTTAAGCCGCTCCTCATAGGGCTTGTTCTCCAGACCCTTGATCATTTTAGTCGCTCCCCTCTGGACACATTCCAGCTTGTCAATATCTCTCTTCAATTGTGGTGCCCAGAATTGGACACAATATTCCAGGTGTGGTCTAACCAAAGCAGAATAGAGGGGTAGCATGACTTCCCTAGATCTAGACACTATGCTCCTATTGATGCAGGCCAAAATCCCATTGGCGTTTTTTGCCGCCACATCACATTGTTGGCTCATGTTTAACTTGTTGTCCACGAGGACTCCAAGATCTTTTTCACACGTACTGCTCTCGAGCCAGGCATTGTCCCCCATTCTATATCTTATTTTGTTTTTTCTGCCCAAGTGGAGTATCTTGCATTTGTCCCTGTTGAACTTCATTGTGTTAGTTTTGGCCCATCTCACAGCCTCTGAGGATGCCTGCCAAAGATGTGGGCAAAACGTCAGGAGAGAATGCTTCAGGAACATGGCCATACAGCCCGGAAAACTCACAACAACCCACTATCATGTGCATAATTTTAGATTCCTCCAGGCAGGAAGCAGCCAGGCTTTGAAGCTGCAAAGCCATTCAATGATAATCAAGGTGGCCAATTGCAACATTCACACTTGCTTCCAACAAACAAAGAGTTCTTTCTCCACCTGGCCCAGGCCCGTAGCCCGGATTTCGTTTCGGGGGGGGGGGGCTGAAATTTTTTTCAGGGTTTCGGGGGGGGGGCTGTTCGGGGGGGGCTGAGTCTGAGTGAAAGAGGGTCTAGCCTAGCAAACCTTTTGTATCATTACCCAATACCCCCATGCATATGGGAATATATTGAGTATGGTGATCAGATCATGATATGAATAAACATAACAGTTTAAATAATGCACCAGTAAGGCCTTTTCGCGAACCACCATGAGAATTTCGGGGGGGGCTGCAGCCCCCCGAGCCCCCCCCCCCCCGGCTACATGCCTGACCCTGGACATCATTCCACAGATATATAAACCTTACTTGCCTAGTTTCCAACAGACCTCACAACCTCTGAGTATGCCCTGCCATAGACGTGGGCGAAACGTCAGGAGAGAATGCTTCTGGAACTTAACCATACAGACCGAAAAATTCACAGCAACCCGGCTCTGTGATATTTCGGAATATTAAGAATTGGCATTGCCTTAACATTTGCGGGTAAAAAAATAAAGCAACCCCTTGTCTTTGTTGTGCCCGCATCTCCTTTGCTTTCCGACGTGCTCCTTCCTCCTCCTGGCGTGCACCTCTCTCTGGCTTTGTCTGCAAACCAAAACAGAACGTTGGCGTCTTGAGGGTTCTGATTTTTGCATAACTCCCTCCCAGGGACCAATCGCTGGGCGAGCTGATCTGAATCGAACGCGCCGTAGCCAATGGGAGGGCAGGCGTGGAGCGTGTTCGGAAGGCAGTGGTCCTTCCAGCTGAGCTGCTTTCTCTCTTGGAGCCTGGCCTTGGCACAGCATCCAATCCTCCTCTGGACCTGGGTTTAGCCATTATTAACCCTTTGTTTCTGTTGGCTGGAAAACTCAGATTGCGCCCTGGGGGGAAAGCTGGCATGTCGGTGGCAGGGCTCAAGAAGCAGTTCCATAAGGCCAGCCAGGTAAGAGGAACATAATATGGTTTGGGTAGGAGGACACCTGCAGCCTTTCCAGGGATTTGCAAATCAGGAGGGTGAATTGGGGCAAGAGGGTCATTGCTGCCTACTGGCTGGGGAACAGTTGCCCAACTCAACAGATACTTCTCTAGCCCATTGATTCCCAAACCCTTGCCCTCTCAGAATCTCTGACCCTTGGCCAAGGTGGCTTTTGGAAGTCGAGGTTTAAAACACGCAGGAGTTTGGGAATCACTATGTTGCCAATCGTGGAGGGTTGCAAATAGTTGTGTGTTTAATAAACTACCTCAAAATAAGCCTAAAAGCTGTGATTGCAGAATTCTCTGGACTCTTCCTGGGTGATGCCCAGCAAAGGTACCAGTTCCTCAGCCCTATCCATCTTACTTCTGTTGCAACATCTCTGCCCATAGTGGTTGATTTGTGATTTTGTATTGTTGATGTCTATTTATATTTTTTTGTGTTGTGTTGGGGGTAGGGTATGAACAGAGGCGGCCCTAGGTAATTTTCAACGGTAAGCAAACAGTATTTTGGCGCCCCCCCCCCCAACCAATCATTGATATATATTTTCTGTTTGTCGTGAGAGTTCTGTGTGCCATATTTGGTTAAGTTCCATCATTGGTGGAGTTCAGAATGCTCTTTGATTGTAGGTGAACTATACATCCCAGTAACTACACTTGCCACACTTGCTCCCTTGCCTGGCCCACTTTGGGTCCGGAGGCGTGCCTGAAGACCCCGGCGTGTGCACCAAAAGTCACCTCTTCTCCTGACTTTCTCCTCAGCCATTGGAACCAAGAGAGAGAGAGAGAGGTGGAGATGCCCACCTTTCCTGAAGGTAGGCAAAAACAAAGGAGGGAGCGGAGGTGGGAGATACCTCCAGCCAGAGGGGCTCTCTCTCTCTCTTGGTCCCAATGGCTGAAGAGAAAGTCAGGAGAAGAGGCGACTTTTGGTGCGCCTCTGGACCTGAAGTGGGCCAGGACCTGAAGTGGTGCGCCTCCGGACCTGAAGTGGGCCAGGCGCGGTGGCTCAGCCCCTTGGCCCACCTGCGGATTGGGGAGAGGAGAGGAGGCGGGTGGAGCGTCGGGGGATCGGGAAAGGGAGCTGGTCATGGGGAAGGGATCGAACGCGGAGAACGATTGAGCGTCCGGTGGCCAGGTGGAGCAGGAACGAGAGGGGCTAGGCTAGGCTCAAGGGCCCGGCCCCTTTGGGAAGAGGATTGCCCGGCAGCGAGGCAAGAACTAGGGCTGTTGTGAGCTGAGGGGGTGCTCCTCAAGTGGCGGTCGAGGGGCATTTACAGAGGCGCCTCTGCACCCCTGGCAAAAAAAAAGTGTTCTGCGACCGCTTACTTCGCGTAATGGACAAGCCGCCCCTGGGTATGAATAAAGTTGATTATTATTATTATTATTATTATTATTATTATTATCTCTCAGGCTGTTCAGGTCCCATTGGCCCCATCTACACTGAAACTGCATTATGTGGTCAGTGTAGGCCAGGCATGGACAAACTTGGGCCCTCCACGTGTTTTGGACTTCAACTCCCACCATTCCTAACATCCCAAGGCCGCCATTCCTAGCAGCCTCGCAGCTGCTTAAGGAAGGGGCCTGAGGTTGTTAGGAATTGTGGGAATTGAAGTCCAAAACACCTGGAGAGCTCAAGTTGGCCCAGCCTGGTGTAGACTCACACAGTACTGTTCAGATGCCATTTCAAACAGCATTATATATGGCAGTGTAGATGGAGCCTCAGACTCATTTAGATACAATTATTTATTTATGTACGACATTTATATGCCACCCTTCTCACCCCGAAGGGGAATCAGAGCAGCTTATAAGATAGATATACATACAGTATATTATATTATTAGTATAGTACAATATCAGTATTAAGTATTACTATATTGTACTATACCATTATATTGTAATATTATTAATAATATTACATATAATATAAATATATCATTATAATATCATATTATTATTAGTATTATATTGCATTACATTATCTATATAAATAAAAATGTAATGTTTAATGTATTGTCGAAGGCTTTCATGGCCAGAATCACTGGAATGTAATGTTTGTTTCGGGGATTAACATAACTCAAAAACCACTGGACAAATTGCCACCAAATTTGGCAACAAGATACCTACTAACCCAAGGAGTGACCATCACTAAAAAAATTGATTTTGTCATTTGGGAGTTGTAGTTGCTGGGATTTATAGTTTACTTACAAGTCTGAACTCCACCAATGATGGAATTGAACCAAACTTGGCACACAAAACTCCCACGACCAACGGAAAATACTGGAAGAGCTTGGTGGGCTTTGAGTTTTGGAGTTATAATTCACCATCATCCAGAGAGCACTGCTCAAACAATGATGGATCTGGACCAAACTTGGCACGAATATTTCATATGCACAAATATGAACACAGATGGAGTTTAGGGGAAATAGACCTTGACATTTGGTAGTTACTGGGATTTATAGTTCACCTACAATCTAAGAGCATGCTGAACCCCACCAACGACCGAATTGGGCACACTTCCCACACAGAACCCCCATGACCAACAGAAAATACTTAAGGCCATCCAGTCCAACTCTCTTCACCAGGGCAAGAAAACATAATCAAAGCCCTCCTGACAAAGAGCCATCCAGCCATAGATATAGATAGATAAATATGATTCACACAGATATAGTATCATAGATTTGAAAGGGACCCCTAAAGAAAGACAACGATATGTTGCCTCTTCCAGAGTAGGCAAACCAGACACTCTCCACATCAACACTGACAAAGAAACATAAAGAAATTACGTATATTAGAAACCAGTACTTTCACATTACTTTGTTTTCCATATCACCAGACTGGCAGAGGAGACAAGGTGGAACTGCCCTCTGGCCCCCTCTCTGTTCACTCCGGCCCAGAGCGGCAGTTGGTGCTGTCGAGAGGGGTCCCCAATTTATGACATATGCAGGAGACAAGATGGAAAGGGAAGGAGCCTGAGGCTGTTAGGAATTGTGGGAATTGAAGTCCAAAACACCTGGAGGTTCCAAGTTGGCCCAGGCCTGGTCTAGATCAAGGGAGATAATGTTTGGAATACTTCTTCTATTTACCTATTTGTTTAATTATACACTTACAATTTACCTTTGCGGAACTGAGGAGGCAGGATGGGTTTCCCATGAAGATTCTAATCCTAATCCAAATTACTTTTTGCATTGCTAAATGAATACATCCCAAGGCCATGCATTCATTTCAAATTCTGATATCCTATCATTTCTAATCAGTTCTGTTGATTAGAGTGGACAGTCAGACCCGTGACTTTTTGCAACACGAGGCGTTCGTCTGGTTATTGTTTTCTATGATCTGGCATTTCACATCGTCTTGAATGGTCAATCTGTGAGTGGGCCATGGAGGCAGCACACTTGGGGGCGGGGGAGAGAGATTTACATTGAAGCACAAAGTGCTTTTTTGTTGGGCAAGAAGAATGACTTCAGGCAAGTTTGACAAAATATGCCACTCAATGGTGTGACGTGGCACTGCCTGGTGGACGCTGACTCCATCCAGGGAGAACGAAACACCATCTCATAGCCACAGAATCCTGCTTCATTCCCTTGCAGACAAAAAAGCCCTTTGTCTCCTTTCCTTTCTTACATTCTGAGATTCTGCCTATTGCTTTCCTTGGACCTCAATGAAAACAAGTAACAGTCAGTATTTCTTCGGGGAACACAAGAAGGGTCTTTGGAACATGATCCTAGTCGAATTACTTATGTACTTTTCCTATTTGATACCCAAACTGTGGAATAATGAGACCATGCCTATAATGTTGGATGAAAATATGGGCCACTTTATTTTTATATATATCCACTCTTCTTTTTTCCTTTTTAACTTAGTCTCAAAGGCTGATCGATTTTCCCACGGCCATCCCCTTTTCCTTTCCTCCTTTGTATGCGGGAAGACAGGATGAGTCTTTAATGCTACATTCTGTCATTGAGATGCAGTACATGCTCATCATGTACTTTCTAATCTCAAAAGTTTTCTTTGGGTTCTGTTGGTCTTTTTATACATTTTTCCAGTATTGTACTTTGTTTTGTGTTATGCCAAGGTCACTGTATTTTTATTACTATTTTCTGCTGCAGCTATTCAGTGAGAAGATCAGTGGAGCCGAAGGAACCAAACTAGATGATGATTTTCAAGAGATGGAAAGGGTAAGCGGACACGGTGTAAATGTCAGAGCCATCATCAGATTCTCCCCCTTTCCATACAGAATGGTGCATTTGTAGAATTGCTGTGATATATGGTTATCCTGAATGCCATGTTAGTTTATAGTATTGGGTTTGTAAATTGCTATCACCCAGAGAGCCTGTGTCATGGCTCATGTGGGATTTCCTCATTTTAGTTTCCCAAGAAGTCTTTGAGATACATCGTTTCCAAATCAGGACTGTTTCAGTCCCCAAGATTTTAGAACCAGAGACATTGTTTGGGACAAAGTTTTGTGATGTCATAAACACAAAGCAGGCCCTGGAGATGTGACTGAACATTATTATTATTATTATTATTATTATTATTATTATTATTATTATTATTATTATCTGCACACATTATTCACCAATACATCACACAGTCCTAGACACTTGGGAAGTGTCCGACGTGTGATCCAATACAACAGCTAGCAGAGTGATCTTGTTTGCTGTGGACTCATCTTGTTGTGTTTCAAATAATAATAATAGTAATAGTAATAATATTAATAATAATACACTTGATTTCTATTCCACCCTTCTCCCTTAGAGCACTCAGAGCCAATTACAGCATTTACATGCATAGGCTAGCATTCAATGCCTTTTCAATCATATACAATGAGACAAACAAATGGAAACAAGGGAGAGGCTTCTCCTTTCATTTCCGGCTTCTGAAGGCGGTGCTCATTTCTGGCTCTGGGGAGGTGCTTTCTCCATTTTCAAGCCAAGGAGCCTGCAATCGCATCTCCTTCTATGAACCGGCACAAACTCTAAGATCTTCCAGGGAGGCCCTCATCTCAGTCCCACTACCGTCTCAAGCGCGGTTGGTGGGGACGAGAGAGGGGGCCTTCTCAGTGGTGGCCCCCCGCCTCTGGAACGCCCTTCCAATGGAAATAAGACAGGCGCCATCCCTCCCCTCCTTTCGTAAGAGCTTTAAGACCTGGTGGTTTCAACAAGCCTTTGAAAATGACCAGTTCTAACTCATCCCCACACATTGTCTAATACGGCCTTATTCTTCCTACCAGTTACCCAGATCATTTCCTCTAATTGGCCCCGGAATGAACAGCCACAGACCCATACCTAATATTATTGTTTCCTGCCATAGCATTGCACTGCCCCAGAATTTTCCTGCCATAGCATTGCATTGCCCTAGAATTTTTGGGCTTGCACAAATCTTGGCCCGGCCTTTTAAATTTTTTAATTGCCTTGAACAGGTAGGATTACTTTTAATATATGTGTGTTATGGCGACAATTTTTATGCTTATATTTTGTTTTGTTAATCTTATGGTTATGTTGTTTTTTACTTTGTATGTTTTGTGATGTTACCTGGGGACCGCTCTGAGTCCTCCCGGGGAGATGGAGCGGTATATACATAAAGTTTTATTATTATTATTATTGTCACCTCCTGGTTGTGTGGCCAGCAAGATTGCTTGGAGTGTCTCTTTGCCTTTTCTTGCCAAAGTGGTACCTATTTATCTACTCATATTTGCATGTTTTTGAGCTGCTAGCTTGACAGGAGTTGGAGCTGACAGACAGGAGCTCACCCTGTCTTGTGGATTGAACTACCGACCTTCAGGTCAGCGGTTCAGCAGCACAAGGGTTTAACACATTGTACCACCATGGCTCCTAAGCATGAACTACAGACAGTGCTGCTTAAATAGAACACAGGTCGAAGTAAAGGTGAAAATACAGATAGACATATTTTTCAATGCAGCTTGAGATTTCTCCCCTTCACCTTGACAGTCAGAGAATGGCTAGGTCCTAAGATATGAAAATCTTACTGAAGTAGTAAGAATGGGATAATGATTCATGTGTTCTAATTCCAAGGAACCTGACACACACTAGAGTAGAGCTTTCCAAACTCTGCGTCAGAACACATTAGTGTGTTACCTGTAGTCCACAGGCGTGTTGCATGAAAAAGGCCTCCCCACCCCTACAAACAAAGGCTGCCTACCAGGAAGACACAGTCAAAGCCCTCCCAACAGATGGCCAGCCAGCCTCAATTCAAAAACATCCAGAGATGGAGACTCTGGAGACAAGAGTTGGAAGGGATCCCAAAGGGCATCTTGTTCAACCACTTCTGCCATTAAGGAAGACACAATCAGAGCCCTCTCAACAGATGACCATTTAGCCTTCATTCAAAAACCTCCAGAGAAGTTCAATCCCTACAGAAGTGGAGCTTATGGACATTGTAGTGCAAAATATGTTTTGGATACCAGGCTGTCCTACAATTGGTTCCTACAATTAGGCAACCTAATCACATTTTCAGTCCCCACCAGAGTCCCAGTGGTGAGCTCCTGTCTGTCAGCTCCAGTCAATCTAGCAGTTCAAAAACATGCAAATACGAGTATGGTAGATAAATAGGTACCACTTTGGCAGGAAAAGGCAAAGAGATGCTCCAAGCAATCTTGCCCTTAAATATTTATTTCTTGATTTTGTTTTACAATCCTTTCCTCCCAATATAGGGATTCAAGATAAGTAACAATAAATATATAAGTGTTAATAAGACAATGCAAATGCACATACATTTGTAAGGATCAGAGGTAATGTTTGAAACTTCCTCTAAAAAGCATATGTTTTTATTGCAGAAAATCGATGTCACAAGCAAAGCTGTGGCAGAGCTTCTCTCAAAGTCGACTGAATACCTCCAACCCAATCCAGGTATATCAGCAACAATAACTATGATAATTATAATTAATATTCATTATAAAAATTATTGACTAATTAATACTTATAATGATTGATTAATTAATAATTATAATTATTGATTAATAATAATAATAATAATAATTAATAATTCTACTTTATTAATTATAATTAAATCATTATTTCCATGAATGAGTGAAAATCTTATTCTGGCATCCCTTTGATTCCCGTGATTTCAAAAACTATCTTCCAGGCATTAGGCAAAATGTCTTAGCCATAAAGACAGCCAACATGTTATTATTACGTATATCCATTCATGTGTCAAATCAGATGCTAATTCTGCCATAATTAATATTTTCCAAAAGCCAAGCTTGCTTTGTAAAAATCCTTGACATAGCATTGCTTACTTATGAAAGTAAGCAATGCTATATCAAACTTTCACCCCAAAACTTGCCTTGATTAAGTAGAGGTTGGGTGGGCATCTTTTAGGAGTGCTATAATAATAATAATTGTGTATTGCTGCATGGCTGGAGGTTGGACTAGATGCCCTTTGTGGTTCCTTCCAGTTCTATTTTTTTTTGTTTCTGCTGTTTTGTCTGCAATAGCTAGGAAATAGAATCCATTGAGTACATTTTTCTGTTTTGTAGGTTATTCTATCAGGTTCAGTGACACAAAAGCACTTCGTTGTGTTGTCGAGGGTTTTCATGGCCAGAATCACTGGTTGCTGTGAAATTTCCGGGCTGTACAACCATGTTCCAGAAGCATTCTCTCATGATGTTTTACCTACATCTATGGTAGACTTTCTCAGAGGCTGTGAGATAGAAAACTCACCACAACCTGAACACTTCATTGGAAAACTCACAGTAACCCAAACACTTCAATGTTGATTAATCTACCAGGACAATGGACCCAATTTTATGTCAGATTTTGATTGGAAGATAATCCCAATGTAATCTCGATTCTTGTCAAGCTTTTGTGTGAGGCTGCCAGGGTTCGAGAACTTTCAATGAACAGGATGTTTTAGCTTCAAATGAATAGATGTTTCTAGTTCAATGGTTGTTTAACACCTTTCTATACCAGTCTCAAACCCCCCTCTTTCTCTAAGCCTACAGAGCCAAACTGGGTATGTTGAATACAGTGTCCAAGATTCGAGGACAAGTGAAAACCACTGGCTATCCACAGACAGAAGGCCTCCTGGGAGACTCCATGCTCAGATATGGGCGAGAACTTGGAGATGAGTCTACTTTCGGTGAGTTTCTGCAACTTACCACCTTACCACCAACTTACCACCAGGTCCACACTCTGGTTACATCCCGAATAGACTACTGCAACGCTCTCTACGTGGGGCTGCCTTTGAAAACTTCTCGGAAGCTTCAATTAGTCCAATGGTCGGCAGCCAGGATGTTAATCAGAGTGGCGTACAAGGAGCGTAACACTCCTTTGTTGCGCCAGCTCCACTGGCTGCCGATCAGCTTCCGGGCACAACTCAAAGTGCTGGTTTTAACCTTGAATGGTTCTGGCCCAGATTACCTGTCCAAACGTATCTCCTGTTATGAACCATCACAAAGCTTAAGATCATCAGGAGAGGCCCTGCTCTCGATCCCACCACTCTCGCAAACGCAGTTGGTGGGGACGAGGGACAGGGCCTTCTCGGCAGTGGCCCCCCATCTGTGGAACTCTTTCCCTAAGGACATCAGGTTGGCCACCTCCCTCCTGTTCTTTAGAAGACAACTGAAGACTTGGCTTTGGGACCAGGTGTTCGACTAGAGGTTAGCGGCAAATTGGATAGGAAATTTTTGAACACTGCGACATTGGATTTACCTGGCTGGGTCTTGGTTTTAACAGCACGTTATTTTATTGTTAATGAATTTGTTAATGTATTGTATAATGTTTTAAATTGAGTTTTAAGGTTTTAATTGAAGTGGGTTTATTGTATATGTTGATAGCATCATTGATGCTTATGTGAGGCCGCCTTGAGTCCCCTTTGTGGGGAGAAGGGCGGAGTAGAAATGAAATGAATGAATAAATAAATAATCGCATTGAGAAATTTCCCAGTTGTAAAACTCAGCAGTGGGTTAAACTGCTGAGCTGCTGAACTTGCTGACTGAAAGGTCGCAGGTTTGAATCCGGGGAGCAGGGTGAGCTCCTGCTGTTAGCCCCAGCTTATGTCAACCTAGCAGTTCGAAAACATGCAAATGTGAGTAGATCAATAGGTGCCGCTCTGGCGGGAAGGTAATGGCACTCCATGCAGTCATGCTGGTCACGTGACCTTGGAGGTGTCTATGAACAACGCCGGTTTTAAAAGGAAGATGAGCACCACTCCCAGAGTCAGATGCGACTGGACTTAAATCTTTACCTATGGCTTGTGTAGAAGGGCCCTGGGTGTCCTTTTGTTTTTACAGCCCTACCTTAGTTAGCCAAGTAAATGAGTTTTGGGGCATTACTTTTTTAATCAAACATCTGCTACCAAAGGCAGATATAATAGAGAAAGAATAGCGACAGGTTCCTGCCATCTCAAAGAGATAAGTTCAACATGTCTCGGCAAACCTTTGGTTCACAACAGACAATATGCACATGTGAACATGAAGCAAAGCTCAATGAAGCCTTGCAGAAGTAAGCCAAAATGTTTTGAGCCTACTAAAAACGACTCCACTTCGGTTATGACTTCCATGTTGATGGTCAGATTGATAGAGCTGGGTATCTGGATCATCATTTCAATTGCAACACTCCTTTAAAAATCCCTTTGGATAGACAGGGAAAGAGAAGCTGGGCAGATTTAATACTTTGTAAAAAGGAGCTCATTTGTGAAATCTTTTGCTAACTGATGTCCCAGAAGATGTGAACTCTATTCGTAATGTGTTGTCTCATCGTGATATAAGCTGATTCCAGCTAAATAAGTATTGGGAAAGATAGTGGTGGAAATTGGAATTGGACGGCTGTGAATTTTCCGGGCTGTATGGCCATGTTCCAGAAGCATTCTCTCCTGATGTTTCACCCACATCTATGGGAGGCATCCTCAGAGGTTTTGAGGTCTTTGACAACACATTGAAATTAGAATTGTTCATGTTTCCGATAATGGAGACTAGGGTGTGTGATGTATAAATATTGCTTCTTCCCCGAGGCTCTGCACTTATCGATGTGGGGGAAAGCATGAAGCAAATGGCTGAAGTGAAAGACTCTTTGGACATCAACGTCAAGCAGAACTTCATTGATCCTCTACAGCTGTTGCAAGACAAAGATTTAAAGGAGATTGGAGTAAGTTTATCTTTAGCTTGAATAACTATGTGTCAATGTATACCCCACTGAGAAATTTCCCGTTTTACATATATGGTCATTTTCTGCTGCAGTGTTTCTCAACCTGGGGGTTGGGACCCCTGGGGGTGGGTTTCAAGGGGGTGTCAGAGGGGTCGCCAAAGACCATCAGAAAACAGTATTTTCTGTTGGTCTTGGGGTTCAGTGTGGGAAGTTAATCCCAATTCTATCGTTGGTGGAGTTCAGAATGCTCTTTGATTGTGGGTCAACTATATATCCCAGCAACTACAACTCCCAAATGTCAAGGTCTATTTTCCCCAAACTCCACCAGTGTTCACATTTGGGCATTTTGAGTATTCGTGCCAAGTTTGGTCCAGATCCATCATTGTTTGAGTCCACAGTGCTCTCTGGATGTAGGTGAACTTCAACTCCAAAACTCAAGGTCAATGTCCACCAAACCCTTCTAGTGTTTTCTGTTGGTCAGGGGAGTCCTGTGTGCCAAGTTTGGTTTAATTCCATCGTTGGTGAGGTTCTGAATGCTCTTTGGTTGTAGGTAAACTAAATCCCAGCAACTACAACTCCCAAATGTCAAGGTCTATTTCCCCCAAACTCCACCAGTGTTCACATTTGGGCATATTGAGTATTTGTGCCAAGTTTGGTCCAGATCCATCATTGTTTGAGTCCACAGTGCTCTCTGGATGTAGGTGAACTACAACTCCCAAACTCAAGGTCAATGTCCACCAAACCTTTCCAGTATTTTCTGTTGGTCAGTTCTGTGTGCCAAGTTTGGTTCAATTCCATCATTGGTGGAGTTCAGAATGCTCTTTGATTGTCAGTGAACTATAAATAAGAGCAACTACAACTCCCAAATGGCAAAATCAGTCCCTCCTTCAACCCCACCAGTATTCAAATTTGGGTGTATTGGGTATTTGCACCAAAATTGGTCCAGTGAATGAAAATATATCCTGGATATCAGATATTTACATTATGATTCATAACAGTAGCAAAATTACAGTTATGAAGTAGCAATGAAAATAATTTTATGGGTAGGGTCACCACAATATGAAGAACTGTATTAAGGAAGGTTGAAAAGCTCTGCTCTACTGCAACATATTTGACAGTAATAATATCTTTATTCTGAGTGCCAAAGAATAATAATAATATAAAATAAACTTTATAAAGCTCTATCTCCTCAAGAGGGACTCAGGACAGTTTCCGAATAACACCTCTGAAACGTACAAAGTAAACAGCATAACATAAAATCAACAAAACAATGTAAGCATCAAATTATTAGAAGAATATGTTTCTTCTTAGCAGACAAATCACCCTTTGGCTCATGGAAGTAGAAACAAAATAGATGTGGAGAATAATGCCTTTTTTAAAAATTAATTTTTATTAATGAATAATATGGGTTGTTGTAGGTTTTTCCGGGCTATATGGCCATGTTCTGGAGGCAATTTTTCTCCTGACGTTTCGCCTGCATCTGTGGCAAGCATCCTCAGAGGTAGTGAGGTCTGTTGGAAGTAGGAAAAATGGGTTTATATATCTGTGGAATGACCAGGGTGGGACAAAGGACTCTTGTCTGCTGGGGCTAGTTGTGAATGTTTCAGCTGATCACCTTGATTAGCATTCAATGGCTTGGAAGCGCCTGGGGGGAATCCCTTGTTGAGCAAAACAACAGAGGGGAAACAAACAGGCACATAAAATCACTCTCAACAAAAGATTCCCCCCAGGCACTTCCAAGCCATTGAATGCTAATCAAGGTGATCAGCTGAAACATTCACAGCCAGTCCCAGCAGACAAAAGTCCTTTGTCTCACCCTGGTCATTCCACAGATATATAAACCCATTTTTCCTACTTCCAACAGACCTCACTACCTCTGAGGATGCTTGCCATAGATGCAGGCGAAACGTCAGGAGAAAAATTGCCTCCAGAACATGGCCATATAGCCTGGAAAAACCTACAACAACCCAGTGATTCCGGCCATGAAAGCCTTCGACAATACAATATATGTTATTTGGAAAGTGGGGGAATATTGTGAAGAAGATAGGAAAGTAGGAAATGATAGTTAGACCCTCCCCAGAGAAAAGAGGTAAAAAAAAATATGTGAAAAATATGAAAAATAAATGAAAAATAAAATAGGAGTTCAAACCTTGACGACAGTATACCCAAAAAAGTGAAGGGTCTCTCCAGTCTAAAAAGAGATGAGAGAGAGAAGAAGTAAAAGAAAAAGAGAAAGAAAAAATAAAAATATTTAAAAATATTTATATATATATATATAATATGGGTTTGAGAATAATGCCTTAACTTCCAGAAACATTTGCTATTCTCAATGTCCAGACCAGTCGCGGGCAAGTGTTTTGGACTTTAACTCCCACAATTCCTGGCCTGAGGCCCCTTCCTTTCCTCCCTCAGCTGCTTAAGCTTAACTCCCAACTCCTTACTACAAGCAAGCAAGGCTTCAGTAAGCAGGACCACTGTAGTCATTCCTTGGCAGCCTCACTTGCTGGGTTTGGAAACGTCATTCCATCTGAACATGAGGAAGAACTTTCTGACTGTGAGAGCTGTTCAGCAGTGGAACTCTCTGCCTCGAAGTGTGGTGGAGGCTCCTTCTTTGGAAGCTTTTAAACAGAGGCTGGATGGCCATCTGTCGGGGGTGCTTTGAATGCAATTTGCCTGCTTCTTGGCAGAATGGGGTTGGACTGGATGGCCCATGAGGTCTCTTCCAACTCTAAGATTCTATGACTCTACTTGTGCCCCAATTGGTAGCAGAACACATTTTTGGCTAGTGATATTGGTGATTATATCTGAACACTTCACACAAACCTAAAGACATGGCAACCCTAGGAAATCATTAGAGTTACATGAGCCCTTTGCAGTGCAATCTTCTCCATTGTTTTTCCCTCTCCAAAAGAGAGGGAAAGGGAGAACCTAAGTTCTGAAATACAATGCAATGAAATGCAAAGATACAGAATGGGGGACAATGCCTGGCTCAAGAGCAGTATGTGTGAAAAAGATATTGGAGTCCTCGTGGACAACAAGTTAAACATGAGCCAACAATGTGATGCGGCAGCAAAAAAAAAAAAAAGCCAATGGGATTTTGGCCTGCATCAATTGGAGTATAGTGTCTAGATCCAGGGAAGTCATGCTACCCCTTTATTCCGCCTTGGTTAGACCACACCTGGAATATTGTGTCCAATTCTGGGCACCACAATTCAAGAGAGATATTGACAAGCTGGAATGTGTCCAGAGGAGGGCGACTAAAATGATCAAGGGTCTGGAGAACAAGCCCTATGAGGAGCGGCTTAAAGAGTTGGGCATGTTTAGCCTGAAGAAGAGAAGGCTGAGAGGAGACATGATATCCATGTATAAATATGTGAGAGGAAGCCACAGGGAGGAGGGAGCAAGCTTGTTTTCTGCTTCCTTGGAGACTAGGACGCGGAACAATGGCTTCAAACTACAAGAAAGGAGATTCCATCTGAACATTAGGAAGAACTTCCTGACTGTGAGAGCCATTCAGCCGTGGAACTCTCTGCCCTGGAGTGTGGTGGAGGCTCCTTCTTTGGAAGCTTTTAAACAGAGGCTGGATGGCCATCTGTCAGGATTTGAATGCAATATTCCTGCTTCTTGGGAGGGGGTTGGACTGGATGGCCCATGAGGTCTCTTCCAACTGTATGATTCTATGTTTCTATGACTCTACTTGTGCCGCAATTGGCAGCTGAACAGATTTTTGGCCAGTGATATTGGTGATTATATCTGAACATATCACACAAGCCTAAAGAGATGGCAACCATAGGGAATCCTTAGGATTACATGAGTCTTTTGCAGTGCAATCTTCTCCGTTGTTTTTCCCTCCCCAAAAGAGAGGGAAAGGGAGAACCTAAGTGAGAGTTGAGATATAAAAGAAAGCCATATTTTGGCAAAGTCTTACTTCTAAGTTGGACAGTGTAAAGATTTGCTCATATTCGGTGTCCAGCATGTAAAGATTTATTCCCGAACAATATTTGGCATGTTCACAGATGCTGAGTTTATTATTATTATCTTTGGCTGACCTAATTCCACGGGACTTTGCCTAGAAACATAAATCAATATTGTAACAGTGTCAGCGACAACATGCTTGCAAAAAGCCTCCCCGTTTCATTTCACCACGGTGCTTTCGTTCCTTTTCTCTCCTTGTTTTGTGAAACAGCACCATCTGAAGAAGCTCGAAGGACGGCGCTTAGATTACGATTACAAAAAGAAACGTCTTGGGAAGATACCAAACGAGGAGGTCAGGCAAGCTGTAGAAAAGTTTGAAGAGTCCAGAGAGTTGGCAGAACGGAGCATGTTCAACTTTTTAGAAAACGACGTAAGGTTCCTTGACTGCTTGAGGTCTTTCAAAGTGCAGTATATTAATCTCTGTGCCCAAAACATTTCTCTCATTAATAATATCATAATGCAGAAACCTATCTATCCCACTAGCTTTGTATCAGTCTTATACTGAGATCTCTCCCAGACAGTCCTTATATCCCAGGATCTGACCCTAGGTTTTCTGCTTTAGACTGGATTATATGAGTCCCCACTGCCAGATAATCTGGGATATACAGAAAACCTGGGATCAGGTTATAATCCTAATAATCCTAGGTTATAGTTTTGGAAAACTAGGAATCTCCGTAGCTTTTTGGAAGTGTAACCCTTTTGGAAGAGGGGCTGAACAAAGGCAAGATGGATGGATGGCAACCTTGAAGTGACTGGATTGACTTTGAAGAAACTGGGGGTGGTGACGGCCAACAAGGAAAACACAAGTCTTCAGTCCTGCCAGCACAAGGGTTTAACCCATTGGGCAGCTGGGGGCTCCTTACCCGGAGGACTGAACTTTGCACATGCCTGATATAGATCAATGTTTCAATCATGTCTGGTTGGCAGGGGTGGATACACTATATCAATGGCTCCCAACTTTGGCCCTCCAGGTGTTTATGTACTTCAGCTCTCATAATTACTAATAGCTGGTAAACGATTTGGAATTTCTGGGAGTTGAAGTCCAAAACACCTGGAGCACCAAAGGTTGGGAACCACTGCATAGGGAATTTGTAAGCATCTCCCTTCCAATAGATAGCATGCTAAAATGGGCCAAAGGAAAGGCTCTGTAATATTGTTGAAGGCTTTCATGGCTGGAATCACTGAGTTGATGAATCCCAACAAAGGATTCCCCTGGGCAGAACATGGCCACGCAGCCCGGAAAAGTCATATGCCTTTCTTCCAGCCTGGAAATTAATCCACAGATATATAAACTCAATTTTCCTAGTTTCCAACAGACCTGACAATCTCTGAGGATGCCTGCCATAGATGTGGGTGAAACGTCAGGAGAGAGTGCTTCTGGAACATGGCCAGACAGCCCGAAAAACTCACAGCAAGCCAGTGATTCCGGCCATGAAAGCCTCCGACAATACAATAATATAAGCCTGAGACGGTTTAGTGCCATTTCTTTTTCTTCTTGTAGGCTCTTCTTCTCTTCTTTCTGCTTATCCCCTCTCTTGTCTTCTTCCTTTCCGCTTCATCGCTTATCTGTCCTCCGCCTCCGCTCCTCTGTTCTTTGGCCTCGCATCTCTCCGCGCGGCGGTTCTTCGGGCTCGACGCCGCCGCTTGGCCGCCGCACGCGCCGCCGCATCTTCTCTTCTCTCTCTGTTCGCTAGCTCTGCCTCTCCGCTCTCTGGCGTCTTCGTGTGCCTCCTCTCGCGCGAGCGCTCTCGCGTCGTTTGTCGTCTTCGTCTTCGCCTCCTACACATGCTCCCTTCTCTCTTCTTTCTTTTCTCTCTCCTCCTTTCTGGGAAATGCCGTGGCTTGGCTTATCGCGCCGCCGCTCTCTTCTCTGCTTCTTCTCTCTCCGCAGCCAGAACCTATGGTAGCTCGCCGCCGCTTGTCGGCCCCTCTTTCTCTTTTGTCTTTGGCTCTTCCTCTCCGCCAGGGCGGCCTCTTTCTCTCTCCTCGCGCCTTGCCTCCCTCTCCTCTGTCTCTCTTTTCCTTCCTCGGCTTCTCTGCTCTCCTCTTTCTTCGTTTTCCCTGCTCCTTCGTGTCCACCGCCTCTTTTTTCTTAGGCCCGCCCGCTCCGTTGCGCTTCTGTCGGCCTCCTCCGCTCTGCCTCCGCTCCTGTCGCTCCGCTCTTTCTCCCTCTCTTCTCTGTCCTCCTCCTCTCCTTCGATCTCTCGCCTCTTGTCTCTTCTTCGATTCCTCGTCTTCCGTCTTTCTTTTCTCCGCCTCTCTCGTCGCCGTGGTCTCGTCCGCTCCTCGTGGTCTCGGGCTATGCTCTCAGCTCACGCTCCTACTCTCTGCTGTCCGGACGGCGTTTACTCCTCTCCTATTCTTTGCCTCGCCTCGTTCTCTTAGAGCCTCCTCCGCGCCTGGGCCGTGCTTCGGCGGGTGCCCGCCTCCGCTCTGCGCCCGCCCCTCGTTTCGTGCTACTCCCTCCTTTCTGACACTCTTCTCCTTCCTCCTTCCTTCCTTCCTTCCTTCCTTCCTTCCTTCCTTCCTTCTCTTTCCTCTTTCTTTCCTTCCTCTCCTCTTTTCCCTCCCTCACTCGCCAGCTGCTTCACTGGGCTGGAGGCTGAAGACAGAGGCCCAAGGCTCGCCTGTGCCACTGCTCATCCTCCCCCTCCTCTGCTTCCAAGGCCAGCCAGCTGAGGAGGAGCAGCTGTAACAGTGGCAGCATTGGAACCTTGCTTGTGGGCTCCACTGCCACCTCCTCCTCTTCTTTTCCTTCTTTCTTTCCGCTCTCCCTCCTTCTCTACTTATTTCCTTCTCTACCCTTCTTTCTTTCCTTCCTTCTCTCCTTCTTCTTCTTCTTCTTCTTCTTCTTCTTCTTCTTCTTTCCAAATCTTTTCCCCAAACTTGTGTCTTAGGCTGGCTTACGATTTAATTCAGGAACAATGCAGCTTAAAACTTTCAAAAAGTGAACATTAAAATGACGTCATTCACATTATTAAAGCTATTTAAACATAAGCTTTAAAAGGCGAAGAGCAATTAAAAGTAATAGGAACCCGGTTTCTCCTTGCTCTTGAACATATAGTGCATGTGGGATTGTGTTTTAGATTACCCAGTATGGATAGAGGTAGCGTACAAAATCCATTGAATACATTTCCCTTTTGGTTTCCTGTGTTTAGATAGAGCAAGTGAGCCAATTGCTCGTCTTCGTAGAAGCTGCACTCGACTATCACAAGCAGTCCACGGATATTTTAGACTACTTGCAAAGCAAGCTACAAGACAGGTAAGAAGAATTTACAGGCTGCTTATGTCTCAGTTCCCTTTTTCTGCTGCTAATCATTATTATTTTAGTTTGTTTTAATTTATTTGGAAATCTTAGTATTGTCAGGTAGACCTTTTGGTCTGAGAATGAAACAGAGTTGCTTGTAAACAATTGCAATGCTCTGTTTTCAAAGGCTTTCATGGCCGTAATCACTGGGTTGCTGTGAGTTTTCTGAGCTGTGTGGCCATTTTCCAGAAGCATTCTCTCCTGACATTTCTCCCACATCTATGGCCGGCATCCTCAGAGGTTGTGAGGTCTGTTGGAAACCAGTCAAGTGAGGTTTATATATCTTATTTATTTATTTATTTATTTATTTGCTGTGCTTATAGACCGCTGTTCTCAGCCCAGGGGCGACTCACAGCGGTGTACAACATGTAAAAATAAGGCGCAATTTACAAAACATAATCTAACAACAACTAGCAATATCAAAAACATCATCAACAACATCAAAATCTCAATATCAATAATACAATTACAACAAAGTCATTCGCGTCTGTCATTCCATATCTGTGGAATAATGTCAGGGTGGGAGAACAAACTTTTGTCTGCTTGAGGCAAATGTCAATGTTGCGATTGACCACCTTGATTAGCACTGAAGAGCTTTGCAGCTTCAAAGCTTGGCTGCTTCTTGCCTGGGGGATCCTTTGTTGGGAGGTGTTAGCTAGCCCTGATTGTTTCTTGTCTGAAATTCCTGTTTTTTGAACGTTGCTCTTTTTTTTTTTACTGTCCGGATTTTAGAATTTAGATTTTATTTATTTTCATGGTTTCCTCTTTTCTATTGAAATTGTTCAACTTGAGAAACTGCAAGACACTTCTGGTGTGAGATAATTGGTAACCTGCAAGGATGTTGCCCAGGGGATGCACAGATGCTTTACCATCCTGTGGGAGGCTTCTCTCATGTCCTGGCATGAGAAGCTAGAGCTGACAGATGGGAGCTCACCCCACTCCCTGGATTCGAACTACTGACCTTTCAGTCAGCAGCCCTGCTGGTACAAGGGTTTAACCCATTGTGCCACTGGAAGGTGTTGGCTGGTCCTGATTGTTTCCTGTCTAATCAAGGTGGCCATTTGCAACATTCACACTTGCCTCAAACAGACAAGAGTTCTTTCTCCCACCCTGGACATTATTCCACAGATATATTAACCCCATTTGCCTAGTTTCCATCCTCACAATCTCTGAGGAGGCTTGCCAAAGATGTGGGCAAAACGTCAGGAGAGAATGCTTCTGGAACATGGCCAGACAGTCTGGAAAACTCACAGCAACTGTATTTTAATTCTGTAGAAATGTATCTTTTGTAGCGTCACCATTATTTTCACATTAACCATTTTAGGATAAATGTAGCATCGAGTCGCCCAAGACGGGAATTCAAACCAAAGCCAATAAGAAGAAGGCCACTGGAAGTACGCAGCAACCAGCAACACAATGGGATCTCATTCATCCCATTCATAAAGTCATCAGGTGAGCATATGTTTCTGAAAGTAGCTCTTCTTCAGGCTCAGTTCAGGTCCGTATTTGGACACATATATACTGCTGGGTTAAGAAACACATCTTTATTCTTGATACATTAAGGATAGAAACCATACAACCCTCCAGATGCTACTGTAACATCCAGTTTGGGGAGTTGTATTCCTACCATTAAAAGGTTGTACTTTCCCCCTACATAATACTGGCCATCACACCTTTTGGTGCCTGACATATTTCAGAGTATATATTTTTGGAAAAGGCATAACCTTTTGGAAAACCAGAATCTCCAAAGCCTTTTTGTAATCATGACCTTTTGGAGATTAATTTGCATTCATGCCACGTGGAAAATCATAACCTTTTTGTAAAGTATGATCTTCCTGAGAAGAGCTAGAAACCTGCTGGAGTGAATCTCTTCTTAATGGTTAATATCTACTAGTATTTATGCAAGGCAATTAGGTTTCTCAGTTGTTAGACTCATATGCCTATAGTAATGATTTAGAGAACTTACTGTTTATATCAGGGGTCCTAAGACATTTTAAACAGAGGGCCAGGTCACAGTCCCTCAAACTGTTGGAGGGCCGGATTATAATTTGCAAAAAAACATGAATGAATTCTTATGCACACTGTACATATCTTATTTGTAGTGCAAAAACCACTTAAAAACAATCCAATAATTAACATGAAGAACAATTTTAACAAATATAAATTTATTAGTATTTCAATGGGAAGTGTGGGCCTGCCTTTGGTTGATGAGATAGGATTGTTGTTGTTGTTGTGTGCTTTCAAGTCATTACAGATTTAGGTTGACCTTGAGCAAGGTCTGGGTAAATGACCTTGGAGGGCCACATCCGGCCCCCGGGACTTAGTTTGAGGACCCCTGGTTTATACTCTCAATAGGAAATGTACTTGTATGTTGACGTTTGTAAGTAAATCATCTATGTTACTTTTAACAAAGACTACCTATTTTGGTCTCTTGAGAGCATAATTTAAAAACCAATATATTTTATGGGAGAGTAGATATTTTTTGGCCAACTGAAATAACACTTCTGAAGATCTGCTATATTTTTTGTGCATTGGCATATCTTTTTTTCCGAACAGTTCAGAGAGATAACCAGGTAGATCAGTCTAACAACTTAGAAGCCTAATCTGCTTTGCATGGATGCTAGTGAATATTTGCTACTAAGGGAGAAGATTCACTCAAATGAGTATTTAACTCTTCTCAGGAAGATCATACTTTACAAAAAGGTTATGGTTATTCCAAACAGTGTGAATACCAATTAAGGTCATGCTTCCAAAAGGCTATGGATATTCCTGGTTTTCCAAAAGGCTATGATACCTGAAAGGTAATAATGCCTTTCCCAAAATGGAGGAGACTACAACGCAGAACAATGGTTTCAAACTCAAGAAAGGAGATTCCATCTGAATATTAGGAAGAACTTCCTAACTGTGAAAGCTGTTCAGCAGTGGAACTCTCTGCCCCCAGAGTGTGACGGCGGCTCCTCCTTTGGAGGCTTTTAAACAGAGGCTGGATGTCCATCTGTTGGGGATGCTTTGAATGCAATTTTCCTGCTTCTTGGCAGGGGGTTGGACTGGATGGCCCATGAGGTCTCTTGCACTAGAATGCGGAACAATGGCTTCAAACTACAAGGAAGGAGATTCCATCTGAATATTAGGAAGAACTTCCTGTGAAAGCTGTTCAGCAGTGGAACTCTCCGCCCCCAGAATGTGGTGGAGGCTTCTCCTTTGGAGGCTTTTAAACAGAGGCTGGATGGCCATCTGTTGGGGGTGCTTTGAATGCAATATTCCTGCTTTTTGGCAGGGAGTTGGCACTGGATGGCCCATGAGGTCTATGATTCTATGATTGCATGCCCATAAAGAATTCTCATCATCTTCTAGGACCCAAGAAGGTGGGTCCTAGAAGACTAAAAATCTGATCCCTCTCCCATGTCACTCCGAGCAGGTTCTTCGTTGCACATGGACCAGCCTTGCTGCCAAGCGTTGTATGACTTTGAGGCGGAAAATGAAGGGGAACTTGGCTTTAAAGAAGGGGACATCATCACATTGACGAATCAGATTGATGACAACTGGTACGAAGGAATGTTACGCGGTGAATCGGGCTTCTTCCCCATCAGTTATGTGGAAATTGTGGTGCCCTTGCCGCAGTGAGTATTTTCTGGCACGTTTTGTGACTCGGCCCTGTCTTCGCTTGGAGTGATCTTTTACAACGTGTGGCATTCTGTGAAAGCCTCGCTTCTTTCAAATGACTTTTTTTTATAAACGTGTATTTATTTTGCATTCCTGTAGTTTGTACAAAGAGCTTCGATTTGGTTAAGTGGGAATGCAAAAATGATCTTGGACTCCTCCTTCGCTTTGTGCCTTGAAGATCTCAGCTGTGGTTCCCAAGTGCATTTTTTCTCTCTCCAGGAATATCAGACAGCCCTTCAACCTTGCCGTGGGTTTTGCTTTTGGGTAAAGCTGATGATCAGTAAGCCATCCTCGCCACCTTTAACTGAATTGTGAAAAGCTTGTACCTCTTGTGCCCTGTGCTTTGCCAAAGGGTAGAACTGTGGTCTCCGATGATCGTCCTCTGTACTGTCAATGTCACTCTCAAATTTTTATTCTTCACTGACCCAATGTTAATAAACAGTGTGATGTTTCCATACGTTCCTTGTGTCTTGTAACACATGACATTGGTGATGACATTCAATACAAGGGTTGAATGAAAAGTAATGCCTCCACCTTTGTTACTTGGGTTTTGATGAGAATCTATATAAATAAAAATGTAATGTTCGTTTGTGGGATTAACATAGCTCAAAAACCATTGGACTAATTGACACAAAATTTGGACACTATACCCCTAACAGACCAAAGAGTGACCATCACTCATAAAAAAACTGAAAAACACAGCAGAAAAGGCTTTAAAAGCCCAAAAAACCCCATTACAAATCACATATATATACGCAAACACACATGTAAACACAAATATATAAGGTAATTTTTTTCCACTGACATTAAGTCCAGTTGTGTCCAACTCTGGGGTGTGGTGCTCATCTCCATTTCCAAGCTGAAGAGCCGGCATTGTCCATAGACAACTCCAAGGTCATGTGGCCAGCATGACTACATGGAGCGCCGTTACCTTCCCGCCAGAGTGGTATGTATTAATCTACTCACATTTGCATGTTTTCAAACTGCTAAGTTTGCAGAAGCTGGGGCTAACCACAGGAACTCACCCTGCTCCCCGGATTCAAAACTGCAACCTTTTGGTAAACAAGTTCAGCAGCTCAGCAGTTTAACCCACTACACCACTGCACTGCACACACAGACATATATACACACAAAACACATATGGACAGAATGGGCCACAGCAACACGTGGCAGGGGATGGCTAGTACATAATAAAATCCAATAATTACATAGATTTAAAACATTAAATCACATTCAATTAAAATCAGTTTCAATAACAGCCTGGTGGCCTTATCTTGTAGAATGTATGCAGTTCCACACCACTTTAATTGCCATGGGATCCTGGGGGTTTGTAGTTTGGCAGAGAAAAACTGCAGTGACCTGGATTGTCCAGCTGATATTTACTTAGGCAATCCCTTGTTGTCTGAGTAGGATTGTCTTCCAAAATTGGTGTACTGGTGGTGGGTCCATAGGTGACTGGAGCCCTGTCCTTGATCTGCATCTTCTCCTGCAGTGAGGGCATCAGTTTCCAGGTGGAAGGCGGTCTCCGTCGGGGTTGGCTTGACGCGCCTTCCTCCTGGCACGCTTCTCCCTTTCGCCCTCCATTCGTGCCTCTTCAAATTCTGCAGCACTGCTGGTCACAGCTGACCTCCAGCAGAAGCGGTCAAGGGCCAGGGCTTCCCAGTTCTCAGTGTCTATGCCAGAGATGTTAAGGTTGGCTTTGAGCCCATCTTTAAATCTCATTTCCTGCCCAACAACATTCCGTTTTCCGTTCCTGAGTTCGGAGTAGAGCAGCAGCTTTGGGAGACGGTGGTTGGGCATTCGGACAACGTGGCCGGTCCAGCGGAGTTGATGGCGGAGGACCATCGCTTCAATGCTGGTGGTCTTTGCTTCTTCCAGCACGCTGACGTTTGTCCGCCTGTCTCCCCAAGAGATTTGCAGGATTTTCCAGAGGCAGTGCTGATGGAATTGTTCCAGGATTTGAATGTGACGTCTGTAGACAGTCCACGTCTCACAGGCATAGAGCAGGGTTGGGAGGACAATAGCTCTATAAACAAGCACCTTGGTATCCCTTGTGTCTTGTAACACATGACATTGGTGATGACATTCAATACGAGGGTTGAATGAAAAGTAATGCCTCCACCTTCGTTACTTGGGTTTGGATGAGAATCTATATAAATAAAAATGTAATGTTCGTTTGTGGGATTCACAGAACTCAAAAACCATTGGGGCAATTGGCACCAAATTTGGACACAATACTCCTAACAACCCAATGTATGTTCTTCACTAAAAAAATTGATTTTGTCATTTGGGAGTTGTAGTTGCTGGGATTTATAGTTCACCTACAATCAAAGAGCATTCTGAACCCCATCAACAATGGAATTGAACCAAACTTGGCACACAGTTCTCCCATGACCAACAGAAAATACTGAAAGGGTTTGGTGGGCAGTGTCCTTTAGCTTTAGAGTTGTAGTTCACCTACATCCAGAGAGCACTGTGGACTCCAAGAATGATGGATCTGGACCAAACTCTACACAGATACTCAATATGCCCAAATGTGAACACTGGTGGAGTTTGGGGGAAAATAGAATCTTGACATTTGGGAGTTGTAGTTGCTGGGATTTGTAGTTCACCTACAATCACAGAGCATTCTGATCCCCACCAACGAGAGAATTGGGCCAAACCTCCCACACAGAACTCCCATGTAGGCCACAGCAACGCGTGGCAGGGGACAGCTAGTCTATATAAATAAAAATGTAATGTTCGTTTGTGAGATTAACATAACTCAAAAACCACTGGACAAATGGACACCAAATTTGGACACTATACCCCTAACAGACCAACGAGTGACCATCACTCATAAAATCCCCCCCAAAACAATGGAAAGGACTTAAAAACCCAAATAACCTAAATGATGAAATGCAAATGACAATACAGAAATAAAAAGGAAAGAAGGAAGAGAGAGAGAGAGGGGGAGAGAGATGGGGAGAGAGAGAGGGAGGGAAAGAGAGGAAGAGGGAAAGAGAGAGGGAAGAGAGGGAGGGAAAGAGGGAGGGAAAGAGAGAAAGGGGGGGGGAGAGAGGAAGAGAAAGAGAGAGGGAAAGAGAGAGAGGGAGGGAAAGAGAGAAACAAGGAAAGGGAGAAGGAAGCAAAGAGTGAAAGAAGGAAGGGAAGAGGTAGAGAAGGAAGAAATGAGAAAAAGAAAGAAAGAAAAAAGGGAGGAAAGGAAAGAGGAAAAGGAGAGAAAGAGGGAGGGAAGAAAAGTAAAGAGAGAAGGAAGGATGGAAGCAAAAAGTGAAGGAAAAAGGAAGGAAAGAGGTAGAGAAGGAAGAAAGAGAGAAAAAGGAAGGAAAAGAAAAAGGGGGCAAGAAAGGAAATAGGTAGAGGAGGAAGGAAGGAGAGAAGGAAAGAAGAAGGAAGGAAGGAAAGAGAGAGAGAAAGAGGGAGGGAAGAAAAAGAAAGAGAGAAGGAAGGATGGAAGCAAAAAGCGAAGGAAGGAAGGAAAGAGGTAGAGAAGGAAGAAAGGAGAGAAAAAGGAAGGAAAAGAAAAAGGGTCCAGGAAGGAAAGAGGTAGAGGAGGAAGGAAGGAGAGAAGGAAAGAAGAGGAGGAAGAAGAGGGAAGCAAAGGAAGGAGGGAAAGGAGGGAGGGGAGGTTGGCCACAGCAACGCTGGCGGGTACAGCTAGTATTTTAATAAATCAAACGCAGAAATGAATCCTTAGAATGTGCTCTTTAACTACCACTATTCACTTTTCCATATAATCACCAGACAATTGGATACATTTCACCAATGATGAACAAGTTTTCTGAAGCCGTCATGGAAGAAGTCGACACTCTGTTTTGGCAACCCATCATGCACAGATCTTCTGATAGCCAAGCAAAGCAATAAGGTGACCCAAACGTTGTTGTGAAATGCCGATTATCCTTGAAATTTCTCTCTGAGTGATACAACTATTGTCCTGAATCAATCTGTCAACCTTTTGCTTGTGAAACTCGGTGGTTGCTGTCACAGGACGTCCAACTCTTTGTTTGTCACGCAAGTCAGATGTTCCCACCTCAACATCTTTAAACTTACTTGCCCAGTGATGCACAGTACTCACATCAAGAATTTGATCCCTCCAATGTACACATAATAAAATCTATATCAATAAAAATATGTTATTTTGTAGTATTAACATAACTCAAAAACCACGGAATGAATTGACACCAAAATTGGACACAAGACACCTATCAGGCCAATGAGTGACTATCATTCATAAAAACACTGAAAAACACAGCAGAAAAAGCTTAAAAAGCAAAAAAAAACCCATTACAAACCACATATATATGCAAACACACATATAAACACAAATATATAAGGTAAATGTTTTCCTCTGACATTAAGTCCAGTCGTGTCCAACTCTGGAGGCTGGATGGCCATCTGTCAGGGGTGATTTGAATGCAATATTCCTGCTTCTTGGCAGGGGGTTGGACTTCCCAAGATATATGCAGGATTTTTCGGACGCAGCGCTGATGGAATTGTTCTAGGAGTTGCATGTGACGTCTGTAAATAGTCCACGTTTCGCAGGCATAGAGCAGGGTTGGGAGGACAATAGTTTTATAAACAAACACCTTGGTATCCCTACGGATGTCCCGGTCTCAAACACTCTCTGCTTCATTTGGGAAAATGCTGCACTCACAGAGCTCAGGTGGTGTTGTATGTCGGTATCAAAGTTGACTTTTGTGCAGAGGTGGCTGCCAAGGTAGTGGAAATGGTAAACATTTTCTAATGTTACACCATTAAGCTGTATTTCTGGCATTGGAGAGGGATTGGCTGGTAACTTCTGGAAGAGCATTTTGGTTTTCTCAATGTTCAATGGCAGGCCGAACTTCTTGTATGCTTCTATTAATAATAATAATAATAATAATACTTTATGTATACCCCGCCACCATCTCCCCAAGGGGGCTTACACGAGGCCAAGCCCGACAACACATCAATAAAACAAAAAACAATAAGCAAAAAACAATAAAATTAATATAATTCACATATAAACAATAACATGCAAGGATTTAAAAACCTATGGCTGGGCCAAATGTAATAGTTTAAAATTTAAAAAATAAACACTG